CACTTTCTTACTCACATTACAGTAAACTACGTTTATAACGAACACGCTTATAACGAACCTGTAGCTGTAAACTGGTAGTGGGGACGGGTGGTTAGACGCCAAATGCGCCGCATTTTGCAGGGTTGCGTCGCTTAGGCGTGCCAGAAACCTTTGATCGAATCCAGGTTCGCCCTGATAATGTTTCTAAGTTTGTCAGCACCATACCCGTGCTCGTGGGTTTTACCAAAGTGGTAAACGTGTAAGACCTAAGGGGATTTCCTCTCATGTCAAGCAGGGGCGGTCGGGTAGCCTAGTGGTAAAAGCATTCGTTCGTCACGCCGAAGACCCGGGTTCGATTCTCGACATTGGTACAATGTGTGAAGCCCATTTCTGGTGTCCCCCGCCGTGATAGTGCTGGAATAGTGCTAAAAGCGGCGCAAAACATACTCACTCACTCTCATGTCAAGCTGACACGACGTGATATAACTGAAAGACTGTTCAAAGCAGTGTCAAATCACTCATTTACTCATTCACTCTCTCTTTCTGACAGGCGACTACCGTGCGAACCAGTGCCTGTCTGCTCACTGCATGCCCTGCATGGTGCGCTACCCAAGTTGCAAGGGTCTTCCCGACGGCTTGAACCACTGGGTGGGTAGGGAAGACTTTCCCTACTTCGTCGTGTGTGTGGGTGGACGGATGGTGTATTCGGGTACGTGCAACCAGAAGAACGGACCACAGATCTTCGATCAAGCCAAGAGGATGTGCGTTGCGCGGACTGCTTGAAGTAATGAAGATGAAAAACTTTCTCAATTTCTTGCACTTGGTACTGTTTCTGAACTTCCTGTTTCATGATTGGTCATTCCTTATTTGGCAGTCATATTCACCTCGGGGTCACGTGATGATGGACTTTTGTGCCGCAGTCCGGAATTTCCTTTACACATTCCCGGACTTCTTCAGCGTATTCTATAACTGGTTGTGGCCATTTAGAAATCCAAATTTAGACATTCAAGTTTCTTTCATGTGTTCAAGGAATCAAATTTAACAAATGCGCGTCCTAAATAGGATTTCTAGAGTCTTTGTGATTTTACGTGAATAAAAATTTAAGTCATTACCATGAAAACCGTCTGTTGCCTAAATTATATTGGAGTTTGTGAACAATATTGTGTTCTGTATGGTACCAAGCTTGTATTAAACACTTGAAGTATTGACCTGCCCGTCATTGAATGTGTACACACTAACTCTGTAAGTCCCATTGCAGCCGGTATAAACACCCGGTTTATTTATTTCTGAATCCTTGTAATTATGATCAATGTGTTGTGTTTGTGTGTTGTGTTAACAGTGTTGTGTAATTTGATTGTAAATCTAAACTCAATTCCCCAGCGGATTCGGGTTTTATTCTTTTATTCTATTTATGTTGCAAATATGCTTGATTGAATAAATATTTCTACCAATTATGTCTTTTCTCGGTGTCTATTAACCAATCACATTCTATCTTGTAGTGTCAGCAAGGGGGTAGCGTCTCGGATACACTGTGCAAAATATCTTCTTATTCCTACTGTGATATGTTACTCAAATCAAGTTACCAACCCACCCATTCATTCACCAATCAACCCACTCACTTATTCAACCACTCAATCATACCAAATACCACCCATCCGTCCAATCACTCACTCACTCACTTAAGCAACCAACCACTCAACCATACCACCCACCCACTCATTCAACCAAACAACCACTCAATAATAATACCCAACCACCCACACACTCACCCATCCCCCCACCTACTCACTCACTCAACAAACCACTCAACCATAAAACACAACCACCCACCCACTCACTCACTTAACCAACCAGCCACTCAACCATAAAACCAACCAACCCACCCACTCACTCACTTAACCAACCAACCGCTCAAACATACCACCCACTCACTCACTTAACCAACCAACCGCTCAAACATACCACCCACCCACCCACCTACTCACTAACTCAACCAACCACTCAACAATACCACCCACCAACCCAATCACTCACTCACTATCTCACTTAACCAACCAACCACTCAACCATACCCTCCAACCACCTATCCACCCACCCACTCATTCAACCAACCAACCACTCAACAATAACACCCAACCACCCACTCACTCACCCATCCACCCACCTACACACTCACTCAACAAACCACTCAACCATAAAACACAACCACCCACCCACTCACTCACTTAACCAACCAGCCACTCAACCATACCACACACCCACCTACTCATTCATTCAACCAACCACTCAACCATAAAACCAACCAACCCACCCACTCACTCACTTAACCAACCAACCGCTCAAACATACCACCCACTCACTCACTTAACCAACCAACCGCTCAAACATACCACCCACTCACTCACTCAACCATACCACCCACCTACCTACTCACTTACTCAACCAACCACTCAATCATACCACCCACCCACCCACCCGCCCACTCACTTACTCAACCAACCACTCAACCATACCACCCACCCTAACACTCACTAACTCAACCAACCACTCAACCATACCACCCATCCACCCACCTACTCACTCACTCAACCAACCACTCAACCATAAAACCCACCCACCAAATAACACCCACCCACCCATCCACCCACCCACTCACTCACTCACTCAACCATCCACTCAACCAACCAACCACCCCACCCAGCCACTCACTCACTCAACCATTAACCCATTCCCTCCCTCACTCACTCCCTCACTCATACCAACCAAACTTCCTCACCTACCGACTTACTCACCTCTTTCACTTAACAACAATCTCTTCATTTGTACGCATATATGAGGACTGCTATTGGTGCACCAACACCCTCTCTTTGTTTGAATGGTAAACCTACACGCATCACGACTCAGCACAAAGTAGGCAGCTGTCAGTGACGTCCTATTTAGTGGGAACAACACTAATGCAAACTTTCATACTTGTTTTTATGAGGCCATATTCCTGTCAGTGGTAAGTTATAAAGTAGCCAGTGACGGATGTTCAACATACACGATAGTTGTCGAGACCATATGGTGCTGAATTTAATGCACGCACCAGACTGAAGTCATCAGCCTCTGTTTTATTGCTTTGATAGCACGTCTGTCTGAGACCGCCTTCGTGGGGTAATGGATAGCGCGTCTGCCTGAGACCACCTTCGTGGTGTAGTGGATAGCGCGTCTGCCTGAGACCGCCTTCTTGGTGTAGTGGATAGCGCGTCTGCCTGAGACCGCCTTTGTGGTGTAGTGGACAGCGCATCTGCCTGAGGCCGCCTTCGTGGGGTAGTGGATAGCGCGTCTGCCTGAGACCGCCTTCGTGGGGTAGTCGATAGCGCGTCTGCCTGAGACCGCCTTCTTGGGGTAGTAGATAGAGTGTCTGCCTGAGACCGCCTTTGTAGGGTAGTGGATAGCGCGTCTGCCTGAGACCGCCTTCGTGGGGTAGTTGAGGCGCGTCTGCCTGAGACCGCCTTCGTGGTGTAGTGGATAGAGAGTCTGCCTGAGACCGCCCTCGTGGTGTAGTGGATAGAGCGTCTGCCTGAGACCGCCTTCGTGGGGTAGTGGATAGAGCGTCTGCCTGAGACCGCCTTCGTGGTGTAGTGGATAGCGCGTCTGCCTGAGACCACCTTGGTGGGGTAGTGGATAGCGCGTCTGCTTGAGACCGCCTTCATAGTGTAGTGGATAGAGCTTCTGCCTGAGACCGCCTTCGTGGTGTAGTGGATAGCGCATCTGCCTGAGAACGCCTTCGTGGGGTAGTGGATAGCGCGTCTGCCTGAGACCGCCTTCGTGGGGTAGTGGATAGCGCATCTACCTGAGACCGCCTTCGTGGGGTAGTGGAAAGCGGGTCTGCCTGAGAACGCCTTCGTGGTGTAGTGGATAGAGTGTCTGCCTGAGACCGCCTTCATGGGGTAGTGGATAGCGCGTCTGCCTGAGACCGCCTTCGTGGTGTAGTGGATAGCGCGTCTGCCTGAAACCGCCTTCGTGGTGTAGTGGATAGCGCGTCTGTCTGAGACCGCCTTCGTGGAATAGTGGATAGCGCGTCTGCCTCGAGAGTAGAAGGCCAATGCTTCGGCTCCTGGTCGCATCATAACAATAGACGTGTGCGTGCGGTTGGTAGTGCATGTGCCCCTGCGTGTATGTAGCTTGGGCTCTACACCACAGACTAGCTATCCCTGCGCATCAACTATCGCTGAGTGCGGCGTAAAACAACAAACCAACCCTGCACATCAACAAATGTATCTGTTGTTCAGATAACAATATGTGTATGTCCTTTGAGGTGGAACACGATGACACGCAATCCTAATACATATGGGACATTCCAGTTAATAGCGGACCGCCTCCGTGGTCTAACGGATAGAGTGTCTGCCGGGGAGCGAAATGATGGTGGTTGGATTCACGGCCGCGTCACATCAAAGACCTTTAAAGATACTACTTGTTGTTTCTCAGCCTGGCGTTCGACATCAAGGTGATAGTTTGAAATGCGAGAACAAAACACATTTATGAGTAATTTTTGTGCAGCTCCTGAAACCTTGGGATCCAAACACTTCGCTTTTTAACAAAGATGTTTATAACAAATGCTTTAATTTAGATATTGGCGTTGAACAGAATTTATGAATTATCTAAAGATAATTACTTGAAAGAAGTACCAACCCTTGTTCTTATCCTCATATTCATCCTTTATACTCCTTAATACATAGGGGCGGTCGGGTAGTCTAGTGGTAAAGCGTTCGCTCGTCACGCCGAATACCTGGGTTCGATTCCCGACATGGGTACAATGTGTGAAGCCCATTTCTGGTGTCCCCCGACGTGATATTGCTGGAATATTGCTAAAAGCGGCGTAAAACCATACTTACTCACCTTAATACATATGTTATATATATTATACGACAAATTATTCCAAGCAACTGGTGCTATCCTTTTTCAAACCAAGTTTTAATACATACCAGAAATTACAGATAACCACATGCGCATTTCCCATATCTAAATATACCCTGGTATTTAAACCCTACATTTAAAGAGGGAGATGTATAACATATCTACCACAAGCCGCTGCCCTGTAGCCGTTATAGCGCTGTGAAGGTAAGGTAATATTCATTTTATGTACCAGACGGTATATGCCTGGCTGTATAAAAATAATTAATGCTTTTTTTAAAAAAAAAATGAGGAAAGAGGTAGAATTTTTATATTATTTGATTAAAAACCAAAAGTGGAAGACACTATCTATTATTTTCTTGACTTTGCCAAGAATACCAACATAAACAATTGTGCACACTTTGAACTCTGCTCTTTTATAAAATGTGTATTTTATGGATAACGAAATCATAAAGCGTTGAAAAAAAATGATTAGTTTTTGTTTTTATTTGACTAAAAGTGACGCTCAGATGTCATTTTATATTTAGCCATATTATGGGTGTAGTTTTGTTGTGCGGAGTAATCGTATGATACATCAATATTCGCCAGTATGGTAGTGGTATGTTAGTTAACTTATATAAAACATATCGGAACAACTATATTTAATACATACTTTTGTATTCGCCGTTTCAACTTCAGTTCTCCAAGGCATGCACACTGTATATGGCTGACACTTGTCTGTGTCGGGGTATATGAGTGAGTGAGTGAGTGAGTATGGTTTTACTCCGCTTTTAGCAATATTCCAGCAATATCACGGCGGGGGACACCAGAAATGGGCTTCACACATTGTACCCATGTCGTGAATTGAACCCGCGTCTTCGGCGTGACAATGCAAGCGAACGCTTTAACCACTAGGCTACCCGACCGCCCCTCGGGGTATATGAAGTACCTGACTTATATACTAGGACATAAGTTCATTAGGACCAAAGGACATTATGGATATAGGAAGTGACTTGATTTTTCTCAAAACATTCCAAACGGCCATTTACATGTCATACAAAATACTTAATACTACAAAATACTAAATACTACAAAATACTAATTTGTCATTAACAACATACAAATGTACATCAACCTGTTTGAGATACAACTAAAATTTCGTTTTATCCAAACTGTATCTGCTACAATATTTTAATGCATTAGTTTTCTTGTAGACGGTTTGGATCTCATCTACAGCTCCATGATGTGTGAGAGTCGCGTGTTGTGCTTGCTGATGGTGCTGCTGGCCGCCCTGGATTCATGTGAGCTATTTCTTAATGTTATTGTGTCGTGTGTATCGTTTTGTGATGTGTGCTTATGCGTATGTTGTGTGTTTATGTATATGTGTGTTATATTTGCATGGTTTATGTGTGTGTGTGTGTGTGTGTGTATGTGTGTGTGTGTGTGTGTGCGTGCGTGCACGCTATGAGGTGAGGTGAATTAAGATTCCATAATTATTGCACTTTTATAACGACGTGTGTGTGTTGTGTGTATGTTTTGTGTGTGTTGCATGTGTGTTGTGTGTATAGTATGTGTACGTTGAGTTGTAGGAAGAATTAGGATTTAGCGAGGAGTTCCAGATCATTGCGCTTATGTAGCGACGTGTGTGTTGTCCTTGTTGTGTGTTTTGTGTTGTGTATTGTACTTTGTGTATGTGTGTGTGTGTGTGTGTGTGTGTGTGTGTGTGTGTGTGTGTGTGAGAGTGTGTGTGTGTGTGTTGAGTGCACATGTTGCATGTGTGTTGTGTGTATAGTATGTGTGTGTGTTGAGTTGAAAGGAGAATTAGGGTTTAGCGTCGAGTTCCAGATTATTGCGCTTGTGTGTTCGTGTGTGTTGTCCTTGTTGTGTGTTTTGTGTTGTGTATTGTCCTTTGTGTATGTGTGTATGTGTTTGTGTGTGTGTTGAGTTGTGTATTGTGCTTTGTTTGTTGTGTTGTCTGTTGTGTAATGTGAGGTGTGTTTGTTGTGTGTAGTGATGTCTGTGTTGTGCTGGGAGAAACAAAGAGGGGTAGGTGGGAAATGTTGAATGGCGGGGTAAGAGAGGGTAGATGGAGAGAGGGATGCAGTGGGAAGTGGTGAATGGCGGGGTAAGAGAGGGTAGATGGAGAGAGGAATGCAGTGGGAAGTGGTGAATGGCGGGGTAAGAGAGGGTAGATGGAGAGAGCGATGCAGTGGGAAGTGTTGAATGGCGGGGTAAGAGAGGGTAGATGGAGAGAGGGATGCAGTGGGAAGTGGTGAATGGCGGGGTAAGAGAGGGTAGATGGAGAGAGGAATGCAGTGGGAAGTGGTGAATGGAGGGGTAAGAGAGGGTAGATGGAGAGAGCGATGCAGTGGGAAGTGGTGAATGGCGGGGTAAGAGAGCGTAGATGGAGAGAGGAATGCAGTGGGAAGTGTTGAATGGCGGGGTAAGAGAGGGTAGATGGAGAGGGATGCAGTGGGAAGTGGTGAATGGCGGGGTAAGAGAGGGTAGAATGAGAGGAATGCAGTGGGAAGTGTTGAATGGCGGGGTAAGAGAGGGTAGATGGAGAGGGATGCAGTGGGAAGTGTTGAATGGCAGGGTAAGAGAGAGTAGATGGAGAGAGCGATGCAGTGGGAAGTGGTGAATGGCGGGGTAAGAGAGGGTAGAATGAGAGGGATGCAGTTGGAAGTGTTGAATGGCGGGGTAAGAGAGGGTAGATGGAGAGAGGAATGCAGTGGGAAGTGGTGAATGGCGGGGTAAGAGAGGGTAGATGGAGAGAGCGATGCAGTGGGAAGTGTTGAATGGCGGGGTAAGAGAGGGTAGATGGAGAGAGGGATGCAGTGGGAAGTGGTGAATGGCGGGGTAAGAGAGGGTGGAATGAGAGGAATGCAGTGGGAAGTGGTGAATGGCGGGGTAAGAGAGGGTAGATGGAGAGAGGGATGCAGTGGGAAGTGTTGAATGGCGGGGTAAGAGAGAGTAGAATGAGAGGAATGCAGTGGGAAGTGGTGAATGGCGGGGTAAGAGAGGGTAGAATGAGAGGAATGCAGTGGGAAGTGTTGAATGGCGGGGTAAGAGAGGGTAGATGGAGAGGGATGCAGTGGGAAGTGTTGAATGGCAGGGTAAGAGAGAGTAGATGGAGAGAGCGATGCAGTGGGAAGTGGTGAATGGCGGGGTAAGAGAGGGTAGAATGAGAGGGATGCAGTTGGAAGTGTTGAATGGCGGGGTAAGAGAGGGTAGATGGAGAGAGGAATGCAGTGGGAAGTGGTGAATGGCACGGTAAGAGAGAGTAGATGGAGAGAGCGATGCAGTGGGAAGTGTTGAATGGCGGGGTAAGAGAGGGTAGATGGAGAGACGGGTGCTGTGGAAATATTGAATGGCGGGGTAAGAGAGGGTAGATGGCGAGAGGGGGTAGGTAGGTTTAGGGCTGTGGTTAGTTTGGCGTCACTGGTAGAGTCTTCGTCACTCACAAACTAGGTTTAAACCTGTCACTTTTTGCATCAGTTCCAGCATCAGCATTCATTCTAGACTCAGGCGACGTGAACCCCATCTGCAAGACGACGACGGAAACACTGATTCCCCACCCGGCTATGTGTGCCCAGTACTACAACTGTAGTGCGCCCGCCATGAAAATACATCGTTCCACCTTAGAACAGAACCTACAGGAATGTCCCTTCCCGGAGTTGTACAACCCTGAAACACAGAGATGTGAACACTACAGCATGGTCACGTGTGGCAACAGGACAGAGCCCCTGGGGAAATGTAAGTATCCTAGCCTCCCCCTTCTTCTTGATGGAAACCAAGAGAATTGACATACGAGGGGTGGTCGAAATGTTCTGAGACTAATCGAAGGAATGCGTTGATGGTGTTGGTTGCCAATTATATTTGAACATAATGACTCCAAAGTCCACACACTTCTGTCAATGATGCTGGAGTGCCTGGACCCCACTGGTGTAGGAAACCTCCTCCTGGTGGTAAAAGGTCCCCCGCAGCAGAAATGGCTTCATCACCATTTACTTAATGCTTGCCAGAGAGTTCTTTCTTCAAGTTTGGGTAGAGGTGGAATTCTAACGGTACCAGATCTGGTGAATACGGAGCATGTTTAGTGGGTTATTCTGCATAGTCCTCGTGGTACAACACACCTTTAGTGAGTTTTTCACGACGTTTAGCCTTGATATACATGCAGTTGCCTCAGCATGTTACCTTAATATTGATCATTATTGGTCTCACCTTTCATAAGGTATTCCACCAGTAGGATTCCAATAGTCAATTTTCGCGTTATGTGGAGCAATATTCTACCAGCTCCAGACTTTAGTGTTGACATTTGATACAAATTTTGCCTTTTGTCCTCGACGTAACAGGTTTCCTCTGCTTTGACTGTTGTTAGTTTCAGGCTGATAGTGGTAAACCCAAGATTTATTTATTGGTACAAAGACAAAATCGGCTGATTCTGCTTCAAAATGACATAAATATGATGAACCTGTAGCATTAGAGGCCTTCGAACCTGGCGTGCTTAGACCTTTTTCATACTCGGTTCATTCCTATGAGTGTTCCCAACTCTTTAACTAGATATGCCTACTGTATCGGCAATGTGCTGCGTGGTGAATCGCCGATCATTCATAATCATATCATGTATTTTATCAACATTTTGGTGGCAGTGGAAGTGGATCAACATTTTGTAAAGCTTTGGACCTCAATTATTTCTTTCAATATCAACAGTTGGTGAATTATTTACAAAAAATAAATACCAAAAATCGAACTGTATTATTTAGACACTCGTGACTTTTATTTTTGTTCAGCCAGTTCCTCACACCTCTCAACATCCAGTGACATCATGTCCCGCTTGCAGACGTATTTGAAGGTTTCCTTTTGCTCAAAGACCGCCTCCGTGGTCTAGTGGTAGAGCGTCCGCCCGGAGAGCGGAAGGTCCGGGGTTCGATCCCCGGCCGCGTGATACCAAAAGACGTTAAAAGATGGTACTTGTTGTTACCCTGTCTGGCGCTCGGCATTAAGGGGCTTAAACAAGGACTGATCGGCTATACTGTGTCTGAGAGGGGTATTCATATTAAACTGCGGCATTGTATCTCAGTGTGCTTGCACTATAAATCGGCATCAGTCCGGACTAGTACAAGCAGCCACGTGCATGCACGTCGCTATATAAGTGCAATAATCTTGGACGCGACGTTAAACCCCATTTCACCTCACCTCCTTTTGCTGTAGGCGAGCTAGCCATACAGGAAGTACTTCAGTGTTGTCACATCCTCCATGCGAAGGACGTGGCAATCCAGCGAAGTTAGTGCTGTTCGAGCTGGGGGGAAGAGACTCAGGATATGGCGTCTTCAGATCTTCAGTTTTTGTGACTCGGTCACTCCAGCTAATTCCGAGGCTGCACATGTGGAAGGTACTGAGTTTCTCTTCTTTGTCTGGAGGAGAGGGTTCAAGACTCACTGCCGTACAACATTGTGCTTAAGAAGAAGGCTATGTAGACTGGTGTGGGTTGTCAGCTTGCTGTTCTCCCTAGAACTCGAACCTGTGCTTTACCTTCTGTGTGCAGCAGAGGGTAGCAACGGGCAGCCTGATGAGGCCCTTCGGATGTGACGAGTCGAATTCTCTCCATTCCATTCTTGCCACTCTCTATCATTCTGAGCATTGAGTCCTTGACAGCAAAGCCTGTAGCAAGGTGAGGTCCACGTGCAGTTGATGGACTTCGTTGTTGATGACAGCGGTCTTGGTACATCACTTATCTCCGAGGTCCATTACAATCCGGTCGTCATGGTGCAAACTTTCCAGCATTCCAACCTTTGGTGCTATATTGTACGTCAATCAAGCTAGGTCTATCACTAGTAGACACCTGCTTCCGGGGTTGTGCCGTCACTGTGAGTTGATGCTGGAATTGCCTCTAATGGGTGCAGGCCTGGGACAACTGATGTGCAGAGCAAGATGGTATCAGATGCTTCACAAGAGCTGCCTGTAGGGACTTGAAGACAACAGGATACTGCCTTACGGACCCTGACTCCGGATTTCCCATATCCTTTCCCATGGATTCATATAGTCGCAAGGCTTAGGAGATTAGGTGTGTTCCTCCTGGAAGAGTTGTCAGACAAGGCTGACAACAAACCTTTGTCATATAGCTGGAATATTGCTGAGACCCCCGCAGCAGACATGACTTCATCACCGTTTACTTAATGCTTACCAGAGAGTTCTTTCTTCAAGTTTGGGTAGAGGTGGAATTCTAGTTTTGAGGTGCCAGACAGCCACTTGTCCCCAGTGCTACCACTTGGTAAGTTCACAGTTACTTCTCAACAATTAAATACACACCGTCTTCAAGATTAGGGTATATCATGTTTTTCCTTCACTGCGAGGCGTATGTAAGTTTTTCAGTTTAACATGGACTTAATTTTTTTTTCAGAAACAAATCCCTTTACCTCGCTGAATCAAATGGTTGTGTGTGTACTGCAAAGTGTGTACTGTATATCCTTCGTAATTAGGCTCAGCCACCCCTCGTATATACACCTTTAACATTTATCAACTACTTAGACTTATAATTATCGAGAAAGTTGCCAAAAATGGCACATTAGTTGACGTTCACGGTCATAAACGACGGTTGCAGTCTTTCTAACCAATGAACTGCCAGCTTTTAATGAAAAGAGTCTGTTTCATGCATCCCAAAGACGTCTACCCAGCCATGATTAAAAGAAAGGTCCAAATCATACCATTCATTTGGAAGACTATACTAAGAATTTCAACGACTCCTGCAGCTTTTGCTGATTAGCGTGTCTACATACAGTCAGAGTCGACAATATCTACTAGATTGTAAAGAGCCCACAATATCGACGAGAGAGTATATTTCTTGATATTGCTTTGGAACTTTTAGCCAAACCAGGAACAGACTCCACTAAATCAGACAAAGACTGCATATTCTTGAAATTGTAATTTGCAAAAAAGGGAGCTGATGCCTTTAATTCAAACAACATTCTCAGACAAAAATCACTTTCCAAACATGTGCCATAATATGTTAATATCGCGAGCAGCCTCCTACTAATTTGGATCACAACTTTAAAATCATTATGGATGTTGTCGAAGCATATGCCAGTATATGGGCCAAAAAAGAAGGAGAATCTGTTGAATGTGTTTCAGAGTGGGCTAAGTAAGTGTGTGATGTCATTGATAGAAAGCACAAACTGAAACATCCTCTATATCTCCAGGGCTCTCAATTCGGTAAACCTACACTAACCCCCAGGGTTACCGAAATGCGACCCCTAGAAATTAAGAGGATGAAACTGGAAAAGAGGAAACAGAAAGGAAAGAAACTTATTCTGTCCCAGCCAGCTGACATCCACAGCCTAGCTGCCCTACATGAAAAGTTTGTAGTTGTTCCCTCTGACAAGGCCTCAAATAACATAACCATTACATGTAAGCATCACTACATTAATTGAACTTGATATAAGCGCCATATCTAATAATAAGGCTCGTATGTTTACTGAGGAAGACATATGCCATAACCATGCATCAGTACTATCAAATTTTGACTTGGCTCTAAAACATGAAGACATGTCCATTGGTCTTTTGTACCGGATTTTTGTAAAGCTACATAAAAATCCATACAAAGAGAGATTTATTGCTGGGTCCAGCAAATGTACCACCAAAGATTAACTATAAGCCTTAACACAATCAAGGAAGGACTTCCTTTATATTCAAAGAAAATATTTGAGACAAGTGGAATTTATACCATGAGGATTGTCACAATCTCAAAGGATTTCAATGACTGTTTACAATTTCAGAAAAGAACCAGGTTCAATGCTGTCAAAACATATGGATTTTTAAGTTTTGTACACCACTTTCCCACATGACAAACCTAATTAAAATCTTTTTTCCTTGATCCATGGGTATATAATTACATATCTATCCTCAGAGTTTCAGGTTATTTGTGAAAATTGAAAGCAAATGTCTTCTAAAGTTTACTGAGATAATATGTGAAGCGCTGGTCTTCCTCATTGATAATTTATATGAATTATTTGGGGGTAAGACGTTTAGGTAAGAAGAAGGCATCCCCATAGACACCAGTGGTGCCACTCTTCTCGCTGATCTGTTTATGCATGCGAATCGGAAACTCTGCTCGGACTGGCCTAGTCAAAACAAGCTAATATGGCCAAGACGTTTAATTTAAGCTTCAGGTATAGCACTGATCAGATGCTGATCAATAACCAGTAAATAGCCAATTTCCATTGACTTACCCACCTGAACTAGAAATAAAGGAGGCCATATAAACGAATAATTCGGTTAGAAAGCTTTGTCTGTTTCATATTTAGATCTATTCATAAAGATTCAGAGTGACAAAACACTCTCCACCAGACTGTATGAAAAGTACGGTTGCCCATAAGGGACATGGAGTCTGTTTTTCAATATTTTGATGTTTAACTTACTTTTATCTTAACCTTTTGCAAATTAACACAATCTGCCATACAAATATGTGATAAATCATGTATAAAAACATCCGAAAACATAGAAAATGTACTTTTAAGTAGCTTTTGAGTCGCTGAAATGTGAAGTGAAAATGTCCAAAACTAAAATGGAAATGTCAAAAACCAAAACGAAAAGGTCAAAAAATAAAATGAAAATGTCAAAAACACAAAACGAAAATGTCAAAAACTAAAATGATTACACAGAAAACTATTTCCACCGCGGTGTAAATATTATCACCGCGGTGTAAATATTATCACCGGGGTGGGAATATTATCACCGCGGTGGAAATAGTTTTCTGTATTTTCATTTTAGTTTTTGACATTTTCGTTTTGTGTTTTTGACATTTTCATTTTAGTTTTTGACATTTTCGTTTCGTTTTTCAGCGATTCAATATCTTCTTTACACATGATTTATCACATATTTGTAAGACAGATCGTGTTAATTTGCAAAAGGTTACGATAAATGTAAGTGAAATATCAAAATATGGAAAAACAGACTCCATGTCCCTTATGGGCCACCGTAGAAAAGAGGGATGACTTCAACTTTCCCTTCAGGTCGAGCAATATTCCTGCAGCTCCATCTCTTAGTGTCTTCATTTCTTATGAGCTTCAATCAAGCATGCTCTTTCTACCAGGATTTCAATGAGCGTCATACAGCTCCTGCTCAGTTTTTTTTAGCCTGGTTACAACATTCAAGGCCTCAGTAAACCTTTCTAAACGTTTTTGGTAGACATGCGAGGACATTTCCAAATTTGACACATCAGTCCTATGCAATTCCCTATTTTGACTTGTACCAAATGAACAATTAACTTGCCTTTGTCTATGATGGGGATGGGGTGGGGGCATCGTCACTAAACACACGCTCATGATATAGCCGTAATCGTACAATCGTCACTGTTTTCGGCCATTATTTTTAGTAATATAGAAAGGGTTTTGTCACTTTTATTGCAATATTTTGTCAATACAGACTATGATGCGTTTACTCCTTTTAACTGAAAAAAGTTAATTAAAAGGGTTTGGTTTGATCATACACAGGTAACAATAACAAATTTTTATTGAAATACTTTAACCGTAGAATATAAATGTTTTAAAATAAGACCGATATCGAAACATGTGACGTGAGATAACGCAGGCGCCTTGCTACGCTTGATTTTAACTAGAACAAAACTGTATTTTATATAAGTACAGATTTAAGAAATATAGTAATATTGACTGTAAAAAGAACACTTTTTTGCAGTGATAAAGAACGTTTGCTGTGTAACCTAACCCAACATGAACAGAATGCTCCGTATCGCCAAGCAACTATTTTGTATGGGACTTATACCATATCTTATACCAACGTTTCAGTCATTTTGTTGTCTTGGTAAATTTGAAGATTTTAGTAGCTCTTTCAGTGGTGCAGATTTGTTTTTGAAAGAACTAGCTTTTAGCAACAATAACATACCAATGTTGGTAATCGAATTTAGATTTAGTGTGAAGTATTTCTAGACTTTCCCTGTTGTAAATTGAATGAACCTCTTTGGTTTTATATAAATGTATTTTCTTAAAAAAATAGATTTAAATGAATATGTCCTTGTGTGGACAGCGTAAACAAATAGTATAAACACCAGTATGTGTAAAGTATGATATAATTTATTTTCAAATGACAAAGGACATGGTAGGATAACAGCCCCTTTTCCGCATAATTTAAGAATTGGGAAAAACTTTGGCTAAAAATTAGTACTAAGAAAATTAATGAGATATGTTTGTATGAATGTGAGCTTAGCTTTGGTTGTTCAAAGAATTCAACTACAGGCATAGGTTAGGATAAAATGAGTCAAAAAGGCTTTTGATATAGGTTTTCAGGAAATGTTTATCTAATATTTACACCTGAGCAAATCTTTGACCCTAGCTCATTTTCCTCATCTTCCCGAGGCAAGGGAGTTGACTGACTATAAAAGTCCAGTTTCCACCCTTGCCGAACTAGGCTGGTATTTTGGAGTTACATTTTGGCTGGACTAACGAGTCTATGCATAGCCCAATCAAAATCGCGCAACGAAATCGAAATCCGGTTCGTAAACTGTCGTCGGATTTCGGTCGATTGCAGGATTTGCAAAGCATGTGCACCGCCAACTCGTTGTCATTTGATGTTTTCCAGATCTTTTCATGTCTTAATCAAGGTGCTCACGTGATTTCATGCACTTCGCGATGTCAGACCCGTTTTATCGCAATATAGATCTTGATTATCGATAGGATCGTCTTGACAGGGCGCCACCATTTTGTTTGAAACAAATGCAAGCGATACGAGATGTGGAATCTGATTGGTCCATAGGAAAGGCTTAGAAGGGGCAGAACTCGTAATAGCCACAGGTAATAGCTACGATCGAGCCCAGGAATTCCAGCCTAGTTCGGCAAGGGTGGAAACTGGACCTTAAAATCAGTTAACTCTCTTGCCTCGGGAAGATGCATTTTCCTAGAATACAAACATTACAAACATGTGATAAAAATCATCTTGAGACAACGTCTTGCTCATACTTTGATTTTCACTTGAAATTCTAAAATTCTGCGTTTTTCACTCATTGTATCCATACTTATGTACTTGCCAATGTCAAAAGTCGAAACATTGCAAGTGTAAGAAAGATATACACAAGGTCTTATCATGTCTGATAATGTTCATGCCAATAAGTTTTTCACAACTTTTAATTTTGACACTTACAGTTGGCATTTAGCGCATATGAGTTATATCTTTTCAGGCGAGTATGCTCAGCACGCGTGTGCTGGGGGCAAGGACTGTGGGCCACCCTGTTTCATCAACAACCCCACCTGTAGGAACCTCGCCGACGGCCTCAACGTCTACGAACATCGCCCCAACTCTCGTAACTACGTTGAGTGCCTTAATCAGCGACTGCTCAAAACTGGCGTGTGTCCTAATTGCGACCCGGGGAGCCCTATTTTTGACGCAAATTTGCGTGCCTGCGAGTGTAGATAAAAAATGCATTGTTTAAAAAATCACAATGTCCAGTAAGAAATAAAAAGCATGTAAACATTGCATCTGTTTAACCCTGGGGATACTGTGGGGAAAATGTACCCCCATTGCTGAATGCGTTCACAAAACCAAACCTACCACTCGGTGGCAACTGACCCATGCCACAAGATCGAGCAAATAGGATAAAAAGTGGCCCTTAGGCAAATATTTTTGGTGGAAATATATAACGTCAACATCTGTCGTAACAGTGAACAGACAATCCAGTACACAGCGTGTTTCTTGATTTTAAAACTGAAAACGGTATGTTAATTTGAAACTACATCTGCTCTGTACAAGTGAAGAAATTCTGCTGCGTACACGTCAAGAGAGTGAGTGAGTTGGATTTAGCGCCGCTTTTAACATTATTCCAGTTATATCACGGCGTGTCAGCTTAATGTGGGAGAAAAGCCCCAAGTGGTGCAGGAAGACCACGAGCACGGGTATGGTGCTGACAAACCTAGAAACATAATCGGGGCGAACCGGGACTCGAACCCACAATCATAGGTTTCTGGCGAGATCAAGGGACGCAACTCTACGAACTCGGCGAATTGCGGCGCCTTAGACGACTGGGCCACCCGTACCCCCCACACACGTAAAGAGAAACGGTTCAGAAATATGTTGTTTTTGCAACAGAATACGAGGGGCTAGTTTTAATGTCTCGGCTCAAACTGTTCTTTTGTCGTTGAGGTGATGATGGTACTCTAGGACGTCAGTCCGCCAGCAGAAACATCGACCCAGTTCATGTAAATCTAAAACGTGGACGCCAGAGAATATCAGTGTGGATTGTCTGCCGAAACAGATTCCATTGGACGTAAAAGGCAAAAAAACCACCAAACTATTTGAACGCTTATTTATTAAGTTCGGGGGACTTCGGTGTACTATACCGGAAACAGACGAAACGATATTCATGGTGGTGGTGAAATGGGGTTTAACGTCGCATTTGAGATACAGTAAACTGCGGTTATAACGAACACGCTTATAACGAAATGACGGATATAACGAACTACTTTTTTGGTCCTGACTATTTCCTGTAGTTATTCTGTATATATGCGTATAACGAACTACGGTTAAAACGAACTAAAATAAGTAGTCCCTTTGAGTTCGTTATAACCGTATTTTACTGTAACTGCACCTGTCGTTTTATAGTGCTAGCCCACTGAGATACCATGCCGCAGTTTCACATAAATACCCAACTCAGACACAGTATACTGACTCCTCCGAGCGGACCAGTCCCCTTTTATGCCGTAGTCAGGCAGGGTAACAACAAATACCATCTTTTACCGTATTTATGTATGACGCGACCGGGGATCGAACCCCGGACCTTCCGCTCTCCGGGCGGACCCTCTACCACTAGACCACTGCGGTCTGGTGCATAAGCAACTAAATGGGATGACATAGATATCGTTACATCTCTATCTTCAGAGAAAAAAGAAAAGTTAATGTCATCTGAAGTTTACTGAGGAAACAATATGTGAAATGATGGATTTGATCATTAATTACATCTTCGTTGTGGGGGGCACGGGTGGCCCAGTCGTCTAAGTCGCCGCGATTCGCTGTGCATAGTTGCGTCCCCTGGGCACGCCAGAAACCTATGCTTGTGGGTTCGAATCCAGGTTCGCCCCGATTATGTTTCTAGGTTTGTCTATGTTTTCTCCCACATTAAGCTGATATGACTGGAATACTGTTAAAGGCGGCGTTAAACCAAACTCACTCACTCTTCGTTGTCCTATGTGTATCATTTATGTGTGTTTGTTGTGTGTATAGTATGTGTGTGCTGTGTTGTGAGGTGAATGAGGGCTTAACGTCGGGTTCAAGATTATTGCACATATTTAGATCCATGCATAAAGAATCAAAAACGCTCCACAAGACTGTATGGCAAGAGAGATGACGTCAACTTTCAATTTATGTCGAGCAATATTCCAGCAGCTCCAATCTTGGGTTTCCACATTTCAGGTACTTTTGAGGTTCTTTTCATGCGTGCCTTTTGTATGAAGGTTTCAAAGAGCGTCATACAAGTGCTCAAACGTTGGCTCAGTAAAGCTTTCAAAACCTTTTACGTCAGAATGTGAAGGACATTTCCTAAGTTTCCAAAACCAGTGACAAAAACGATGTCTGATGCAATGCCCTACCTCGACTTGTAAGAAAGGACGCGCGTTTGCATGTTTGTGGTAGGTGCTGCCTTTAAGCTAACACATGGTTTAGATCACTACTTGATTAACACAATCTATGGTTTAGTCGGGGGGGGGGGGGGGAAATCGGCGAGAAACTACTAAATGTATCATTATTTTGTGGGCTCTCCGTCAACCTAGGCATAAAAGTATTGAACCGTGAAGATCCAGGGTAGAATACGGAATATGTCTTCAGCATCCCATGCTTGCCGTAAAAGGCGACTTTGCTTGTCGTAAGAGGCGACTAATGGTTTTGTTTGTTTGTTTGTTGTCTAACGCCGCACTCAGCAATATTCAAGCTATATGACGGCGGTCTGCAAACAATCGAGTCTGGAACATGTAATCCCGTGATTGATATCATGAGCATCAATCCACACAATTGGGATACGATGATAGGATCGAGTGGTTGATGCATGTCATGGTATCGCAATTGCATGGATCGATGCGCATGATGTCAGTCTTTATAGCAAACGTCGTGATGACTTAAATATACCCGATTCAGTGGGTAATCATGTGTTGCCTATCGATTATGTGAGGTCAAGCGTCCTCGTGCTTTAGCTATACTAATTTATTGAAAAACTTTACTTTACTACACTGCACATGGAGGTAGAATAAACAATATTTCTTTATTAAAATATTTTTACTTGAACCAAATATAAAACCTTGTTCTTAAACTCATCGTCATCTTTAATAATCCTTAATACATATTTTATGTATATTATACGACAAATTAATTCATTACAACACACTCTTTGAGAACAAATGAAACTCATGAAGTTATGGCTGTGTGCGTGTGTGCATCATACGAGAGTGCGTGCGTGCGTGTGTCCGTGTTTGTGTATCTTCGCGCGTGCATGCGTATGTGGCCCGTGTGTGTTTTTACAAAAGGAGCTTCACAACACAGGGAGAGTTTATATGTACCTGCACATAAAACCACATATCTGCCCTTCAGATAACCACCACATGATCATGTCCCACACAGTCGGGGACCATGCCACGCAATCCTATCAGAAACTCCAGTAAATGGCGGACCGCATCCATGGTCAAGTGGATGGTTGCCTGACAAGAGAGCGGAAGGTTGGTGGTTCGAATCCTGACCGCGTCATACCAAGAGACGTTAAAATACAGTACTTGTGTTTTACCTGTCTGGCGCTCGACAATAAGGGAATTAAGGACTCTTTCTCTCTCTCTCTCTCACACACACACACACACACACACACACACACACACACACACACACACACACATTGCTATCTATTTTATGTTGACGTTTGTTAACAGACTTGGCGAAGAACAAAATCAACGTATCTTTAATTTTGAGGCATCTCCGTCAACCTGGGGATCCAAAAACATGTTTACAACAAAAAGTCGTCCTGATTTAGATATTCCCGATGTGGCGTTAAACAACATTCAAGTATTGCCTGAACCTTTGTTCTTATCTCCATATGCATCTTGATCCTTAATACTTATGTGATGTAATTCTACGACAGATTATTACTTCACACCTATCCCTATTATACAAATGTTTACTCCACAGCAGAAATTACACATGACCACATGCGCATTTCCCATATCTAAATATACCTTGGCATTTCAGGAGAGATATTACATAACTACCACACGCTGCTGTCCTGTAGCAATTTTGGCCCTGTTAAGGTGAGTTCATATATTTTTATATATACCGGGGTACATAAAAATAATAATGTTTCTAAAAGTGAGGAGGGAGGTAGAATGTTGTTGTTTTTGGAAAAAAGTGGGAGGAACACTTTTTAAAATGTTCATACCAAGAAAACAGACAAAGGTAACTGTGCATGCACTGAACTTGGCTCTTTAATACAAACAACACACGTTTGTGTTCATTTTATAGAGAGCAGAGCATATAACACTTCATATAACGATGGGAAATTTAAACATATCTTTATGTTGGATTAATAGTGACGCCAAATGCGAAAGAAACGTTTCCTTCTATTTCAGCCCAATTAAAGGTGTACTTTTGTTGTGCGGTGTAGGGGCGGTCGGGTAGCCTAGTGGTTAAAGCGTTCGCTCGTCACGCCGAAGACCCGGGTTCGAATCCCGACATGGGTACAATGTGTGAAGCCCATTTCTGGTGTCCCCCGCCGTGATATTGCTGGAATATTGCTAAAAGCGGCGTAAAACCAAACTCACTCACTCATTGTGCGGTGTAATCGTTTGATACTTCTTTAAATCTAAATAGTAATGGTTATATTAAGCATGCCAGAACAATTATAATTTTTTATTTAATAAAGTGTGTATGTTTGTATTTATCTTTTAACTTCAGTTCAAAACGTATGCACTCTGTATATGGCTGACCTTTATCTGTGGTTTCCTTCTTCACCCAAGATCACTAAATGTCGCCGAAGATAAGATATCTGACTTATAAACTGGGATATTAGGACATTCGATTGCACCCAAAACGGTAGTTTACATGTTATACAAAATGTTAATTTGTTATTATATTGATATATTCGGATGAAAACGTTGACACAAACCTGTTTAACATACTACATATGGCATGTCATTTTATCCAGATCAGCTCCAACATTTAAATGCATTAGTTTTCTTGTAGACGGTTCGGATCTCATCTACAGCTCCATGATGCGTGAGTGTCGCGTGTTGTGCTTGCTGATGGTGTTGCTGACCGCACCTGGCCGCCCCTGGCCAAGCTAAGTGAGTTTAGGGTGGAGAGAGGGTTGCAGTTAGGAGCATTGTTCGGTAAGGGTAAGAGAAGTGCAGAGAGAAGTGTTAAATGGCGGGATAGAAGAGGGTAGGTGGAACGAAGGTTGCGGTGAGGAGTGTTGGCCGACGGGGGTGAGGGATATATGGAGAGACGGGTCATTGCTCGGTGGGGTACGAGAGGATAGGTGGTAAGCAACGGGATAGGTAGAGGGAGTGCCGCGGGTTTGGTTTCACTGGTAAGAAGGAGTGGAGTTCAGAGTCCTCATTCACAAACTAATGAGGATCCGGGGGAGAATAGGTCGTCAGCAACCCATGCTTGCCGTAAATGGCGACTATGCTTGTCGTAATAGGCGACGAACGGGATCATATTGGGTACATATACTGGTAAATGAAGCACGTTTTGGAACAGTGTAAATACCAAAGGTTGCTGTTAACGGGATCTGGTGGTCAGCCTCGCTGACTTGGTTGATGCATGTCATCGATCCCAATTGCGTGGATCGATGCTCCTGATGTCAATCACTGGATTGTCTGGTCCAGACTCGATTTTTTACAGATCGCCGTCATATAGCTGGATTATTGTTGAGTGCGGTGGTAAACAACAAACAAACAAACAAACAAACAAACAAACACAAACTAGTTCTTCACCTGTCAAATCACATTGATTCCAGCATCAGCATTGATTGCACCCACAAGTTACGTGGAGCCAATGTGCAATCCGCCGTCGGACACACCGATCCCTCACCCCACTCAGTGTGCCCAATACTACAACTGTAGTGCGCCCGACAACTATTTATACGGCCGCTACACCATGACGAAGAAGTTATTTGAATGTCCCTACCCGCAGTTGTTCAATCCTGATACAGATAGATGTGAGCACTACAGCATGGTCCAGTGCGGCAACAGAACAGAGCCCCTGTGGAGATGTAAGTATCTTTGTCTTCCCCTCTTCTGGTCAGAAGCATGGACATTATTACCTGCAGGGCTAGAAATAATCGAGTACATCAATACTGTTTACGTATAAAATGTCCCTTTTATGTGCAGTAAACAGTAGCTGATTGGTTGAACAACAATCTTGACCCCAATAACCCCAGATGACAATCGGGACTATTTTCATTCATAAAGTTATACAATGAAAGTGAGAAGAGTCCGGATAGCCGTAAAAGGCGACTATGATTGTTGTAATAGGAGACCGGTATCGGCTCACTGACTTGGTTGATGCACGTCACTGTGTCACAATTGAGCGGATTGATCCTCATGATGATAATCACTGGATTGTCTGGTCCAGACTCTATTATTTACAGATCCCGTCATATAGCTGGAATATTGCAAACAAACAAACAAGTATGCACGGTGAACAACAGTTTTTAACCTTTAAAGACAAAACTATGAGTTTCTAACCACTACCTGAGCATATAAAGAACATAACAAATGCCATTAGCTGCACATAACATGACAAGGGAACACACTCCAAAATCAAAAGTGTAAAAACCCCAGTTTATCCAGAATGGATAATATGCCAGACAACATTTGATGGTGCCACAGACACTAATATGAGGTATGACCATACGTGGTCACCTGATGCATTCTACATGTCACCATACCAATATTTTAAAGTTAAATCTTCTTACATTTACAGCGGGCCAAAAAGGCCCTTATCCCACCTTCCCCTTTCAAGGGATCCGGTGTATGACTGTTTCCAGGTGAATATGACCGATCCAAGTGTTTTGCCAGAGGCTGTGGGATTCCGTGTCAAGCCTTCAACCCCAACTGCAGAAACCTCCCCGATGGCCCCAATGCGGACAGGAATAAAATCGGCTCTCCCTCCTACATTGTGTGCCTTAATCAGAGATTGATCTACACTGGCATTTGCCAAAGAAACGGATTTGGGCCAACATTCTTTGACGAAGTATTGCTTGTCTGCAGATGGTCGTAAAAAACCTGTTGTTTAAAATTCAGTATTGTCAATTGAAGAGTTTGCCAACAGTGCATGTATTTGTCTAATTGTCTAGCTTGCCCATGACATGACGTAGAGCACAATATGTTACCCCTGAATTAAAAAAAACCCCTCAGATTGGAAATATTTCATGTCAACACTATCTGACCTGGGCTAACTGAACATGATCATCGATGCATTTTATCCTCTGGTGACGAGCGTTGTTCGGGGGAGGTGAAAAGGGTTAGGGCGGATATAGGGGTGCGACGAGGAGCGTTGGTCGGCAGGGGTAAGAGGATACAACTATACTGGTGGAGATAAGAGCGCGGTGAGGAGAGTGTAAGGTCGAGGTACGAGTAAGAGACAGAGTAGGTGGAGAGGGGTTCGGGGTGTTTGTTGGGACTGGTAACAATTTTAGAGTGAGTGAGTGAGTCAAGATTTAACGTCACATCGGCAGTATTTCAGCCATATCGTGACGAGAAGTACATTAATAATACAGAGATTAAGACTAAATTAAAAGCTGTTAACGAAGGACAGTACAATAACTAGGATATCACAGATTCGATTTAAAACTGGTTGAGAATATATAAAAGTCATAAGTATCAGTTAACAACACAATATAAAAATGGGCTAGGGATCGTCAGTAACTAAAGGGAGATCACAATACTAGGGACCATGGGGACTTACAGTGCCTTTGCTTCCTGCATGGGCCCCGGCAGGATTTACACCATGCCTTCAGTCGCTGACGATTGTATGCAAGTTTAGCCATTGATTAAACTAACAAATATACTACGATTTAAAAATCTGGTATGCCAACAACTTTCGAGTTTACATACACAAAATAGATTTAAACCTGTCATTTCACATTGATTTCTGCAGACATAAACGACGTGAACCCCATTTGCTTGACGAAGAGGCAGCCGCTGATACCCCACCCAACTGAATGTGCCCAGTACTACAACTGTACCACACCCGCCATGAAACACTACTGGGAGGCTAACCTACAGGAATGTCCCTACCCGCAGCTGTACGACCCTGGAACTGAAACATGTGAGCACTACACCACAGTCCAGTGCGGCAACAGAACAGAGCCCCTGGGGAAGTGTAAGTATCCTTGGCGTCCCCTCTTCAACAGCATGGTTGGTTGGTTTGTTGTTTAAATCCGCACTCAGCAATATTCCAGCTATATGACGGCGGTCTGTAAATAATCGAGTCTGGACCAGACAATCCAGTGATTGATATCACGAGCATCAATCCACGCATTTAAGATGGATGACATGCATCAACCAGGTCAGCGAGCCTGACCACCCGATCCCGTTAGTCGCCTTTTACGACAAGCATAGTCGCCATTTACGGCGAGTATGGGTTGCTGAAGACCTATTCTACCCCAGAATCTTCACGGGTCTTCAATAGCATGGACAGTATCACCGTTTAAACTACAGTAATCACGAAGGCACCTTGCTACGTCTCGATTTAACTAGAACAAATGTATGTACAGTTAAGATTTGTTTGTTTGCTTGTTTGTTATTTAACGAGGTCACTTAGCTGGAATATTGCTATGTAATAAAGACGAGTCTAGGACGGACAATCCAGCGACTGATTTCATAAGCATCGATCTACGCAATTGGGATACTGTGACATGCATCAACCAAGTCTGCGCGCCTGACCACCAGATCCCGTTACTCACCTTTTACGACATGCATGGTCACCTTTTACGGCAAGCATGGGTTGCTGAAGACCTATTCTACCCCGGAATCTTCACGGGTGGTACAGATAAGAAATATAGTAACATTGAAAAACGAACACTATTATCTGATATCAAAATGTTCTTTTGTTTAAATGTATATTTAACTTGAAACTCAAAACATTTGTTCTCAGATGTACATATTTTATTTAACAATTATTAATAAATACAATAAAGTTTAGTTACGAAGAAAGTACAATACATTGTAGGTCTCAAAAGAATATTTCAGTGAAGTTCCTAGATATTTACGAATTGCATCTTTTTCTTTTGTTCGCTTGGACATTTTAAAGCTGATTCTCTCCTTTCATGGGCAGTGGGAACAAATAGTACAAACACTTATATGTGTACATTATGTTATCACTCTTAAGGAATGACACATCAACAATGTCTATGTATAATTGATCCCACTAACTTACATCTTCCCGAGGCAAGAGGCAGTGTCTACTAGCCCATATGAAAGTCTAGTTTTCACCTTTGCCATTTCAAGCCTACTTTTCTTGGCACGATCTTAGCGCAACCCAATGTAGAGAACGAATTGTCCCCCTTGTGATGAAAACGCGATATCCAAACAGATCGCTGTTCTTATTTCAAACGACTTCACAGTGTCAATTACCATTGCATACCACTGATCGATCAGATAAATAAAAGATTCGAGTTTTCAAACAAACAAATTGACAGATTACCACAGTAAGATACTTAATGATGCCGAATTTCGCAGTTACACAAAAGAGGCTGACGGACTACACAGTATTAAGTAACACTGCACATCGCGGTAACATGAAACGCTCAGCATTGGCCATCTAAAAATAGCACTGCATCTCAGTCGCTATCATAAGCCTTTAGTCGTTCGAGTTAAAATACAATGCAGTTTGCACTTAAATATATAAAATGCACAAAATAATTGGGCGAGTTGATTGAAAAACTTCGAAAATAGTTGTCTTCGCTTAGTTGTTAGAATAATTTCAGTGCAAATCTTGACACGCTGAACCCGGATGCTGATTTTGTAAATATTCTCTGATCGGAATATCAATATATGTGATGATCCAATCCCTGTCTGTTTTTGCACAGAAAAGTAGTCTTGAAATGGCAAGGGTGAAAACTAGACTTTGATATAGGCAAGTTGACACTCTTGTTTCGGGAATATCGCTAACTTACTGCAATTAGAGTACTGTAAAATTGATCCCTCTAAATGAAAAAAATAGTGGCATCCGAAATATGTCTGTTTCCAGGTGAGTATCTTGTGGGAAGGGACTCTGGGATGGCATGTTTTGCCAACAACCCCAGCTGCAGGAACCTCCCTGACGGCCTCAACGCCTACGAACATTGCCCCAATTCTCCAAAATACATTGTGTGCGTAAGTCAGCGATTGGTCTACACTGGCGTGTGCAACAACAAAACGGGGACATCCATCTTTGATGCAAAATTGCGTGCCTGCAGGTGATCGAAAAACGCTGCTGTTAAAATTAAAGAATTCATCAATCAAGTATTTGTCTGCATCTAACCTGACCCCATGGGGGCAAATGTAACCCCAGGGATTAAAAACGTTTACAAGACAAGTCTAAACCAACAGCACACTAACAGCTGACCCAATCGTACAAACACAAGGGCCCACTTGCACAAAACGATCTTACCGCTAAGATGATCGTAACTCACATACTTCAACGTTGGCTTACAATAGTCGTAGCACTAAGATCGCTTTGTGAAAGAGGGCCCAGGCGTCTCGTATACTTAGCATGCGTTTTTCCACACAGTCTGATATTGGATTCAATTTAGCGCAGATGAAAATGACTGAGATTAAAAAAGGAACCCTAGCCATGGCCATGTCTTAATTTTGCGCGTGTGCGTTTTTTGTCTTGCCTTTGCATGTGTTTGTGATGTGCCACCGGTTGGGCAGAATACGCTCACCTTTTCGCGAACACCTGGTATTATCACTATTTCATAGTGTGATTCATAAACACACGCTCATGATGTAGTCAGAGTCGAACAATCGACAGATATTTCTTATGAATATGGAAATGGCTTTGTAGCTTTTATTTCACCAAAGTGGCTAACCTTCATCAATTTTGACTTCCACCTACACTAAGCTTAAAGGCCGTGGTAGAGCTTATATACTGCTCCTTTAAATCTAATTTACTCGGTCACTCGGCACACAAGTGCGGCGTTAAATAACAAACAAACAAACAAACAAATGTTCACTCAGCATATCAACACCCTTGTGGAGTGTACACGGGCGAACCTATATTCAGCGAGCTATTATACAAGATGGGAGCTGTTATACAAGTTGGTGGTGGACTGTCTATCGTTTGTCTTGCTCTCGTCAAAGTTGAGGGAAAATGAGCTTTAAAACGAAGGAAACCATCTAAATTGTTCAAAAGAAGTTGTCAAATTTTGGACAATTTTGACTTCTCTAAAGCAACAAATCTCCAGAGAAAAGTGATGGCAAGGCATATGGAAGCCACGACAGTTTCCCCGGGCACGACGACACATGCGAACGTGAACCTCTACCATGTGAACCAACATGATGCTGGGCAAGAGCCTCCCCACCATTGATACAAGCTATTCTGGTACATTTGGACCACATTGACCAGGAAATGAATAAATTAGACAATTTAGAACTTGCTTTGAGAAATACCAAAGCTAAGGTAAACACATTGATGCTGCAAATGCAGAGTCTAGAAATCAATTCACAGAATATTGTGTGTAACCTAGCCGACTCCGAAACGTTGCCAGTGCTAACAAGAATCATTTAGAGAGGCTAGAGGCAGAACTTGCAGAACCTGCAAATAAAATTGAAGAAATTGAAAATTTGAGAGTGACTTTTCATGATGTGACAGAAACCCAAATTGATATATGATGCAGACAAATGAAGCAAAACCTTGTGTTCCAGAGGAACAAGATAGCTGCAAAACTGCTTTATGAACATGCTGTTAAAATCATCAACAATAAAGGAAGATTCTGACATCATTGACAGAGATCACCGGATGGGTCCTTTCAAAACAGGTAAACAATGACCATTTGTTGTTTTCCCTCATCAGCTGACAAAGATTGGATTAAGTCCCATGCTAAATACTTCAAGGGCACCAATTTTGGAATTTCTGATCAATACTCCAGGGTTGTCGTAGACAGAAGAAGAAGACTAACTCAATACTTACAGCAAGCGAGGAAGCAGGCCCATCTTTGCATAGACAAGCTTATTGTTGAAGGACGGGTAGTACACTTAAGCCTCTAGGCTATCCCTTGAAACACAAAATATTACATTTGTTTGTTTGTTTATTTGTTGTTTAACGCCGCACTCAGCAATATTCCAGCTATATGACGGCGGTCTGTAAATAATCGAGTCTGGACCAGACAATCCAGGGACTGATATCATTAGCATCGATCCACGCAATTGGGATCAATGACATGGATCAACCAAGTCAGTGAACCTGACCACCCGATCCCGTTAGTCGCTTCTTACGACAAGCATAGTCGCCTTTTACGGCAAGCATGGGTTGCTGAAGATCTATTCTACCCCGGATCTTCACGGGCCTCGTCTCTATGAAGTTGCTGACAACCACAGTGTTGTCACACTTCACAGCGGCTGAACCCCTTATGCGTACAAGCCACAGATAACGGCTTTCAATTATTGAAGGTGTCAACGATACTGGTTGTGTAACATTAAAGGTGATACTTGAAAAGAAATAATGAAAGTTGACAGGTCCTACTCAATGTCAATAAAGTTCGGGGTAGAATAGGTCCTCAGCAACCCATGCGTGCCGTAAAAGGTGACTGCTTGTCGTAAAAGGCGACTAACGGTATCGGGTGGTCAGGCTCGCTGACTTGGTTCATGCATGTCATCGATCCCAATTGCGTGGATGGGTCGTTGGTCGTGTCCTGATTACGGCGTTAAACAACAAACACAAGCATATGTCGTGTTGCAGTGATAGCGTTGTACAGATGGCTCATATTACAACTGTGGCATATCATCACTTGATTGTCTTGTTTGTTGGGTACTGCTGTGCGGCGTCGGGCAATAAATACTTACTTTTTATGTTTGAATGGCGGTACTACCGGTAGGGCATGACATGCTAACCCTTTTCGCGAACACCTATGATTTTCAGCTGTCCATTCATATAATTTTCACAGCTGTTTGTCCTGTGTGTGTGTGTGTGTGTGTGTGTGTGTGTGTGTGTGTGTGTGTGTACTTGTATGTACAATAGGCTCTTCACAACACACAGAGGGTTAATATATCCTTGCACATCTAATGTTCAGATCACCATATGCCCAATTCCCATGTCCAAGTATACACGGTAATTTGCAGCAGTATCACTAAGGGTATCTGTGGTCTTATGTCACCCGTGTTAGATTTTATACCACACGCCACATGGAGACACATAAAACCTCTGTCAGGGTGCTTCATTAACGTTTACGTCGGCGACGCGAGAGTCACGCCTCACCCACAGAGGAACCGACTCGTAACTTCCGTCGGGACACCGACGCTGCCGTACAAACTGTTGTCCAGTTCGGGAGAATCTCTCAGACGGGTGGCCCAGTCGTCTAAGGCGCCGCGATTCGCTGTGCAGAGTTGCGTACCTTGGACACGCTTGAAACCTATGATTGTGGGTTCGAATCCCAGTTCGCCCCGATTATGTTTCTAGGTTTGTCAGCACCATACCCGTGCTCGTGGGTTTCACCGAAGTGGTAAACGTCTGAGATCTGCATCAATTCGGGCTTTTTCCCCACATTAAGCTGACACGCTGCGATATAACTGGAATACTGTTAAAGCGGCGTTAAACCCTACTCACTCACTCACTCTCAGACAATATATAATCCTACAAGAGCAACAAAGCCCGGACGTCAGGGCATGCGACGCTGCAATGAAAGTCTTTCTCCCCAGTCGGCTAGGTTTTAAGAACCTTTAATCCTTCAAGGCGATAAAGTGTGCTTTTTACTACGGATTAGCATATTATTTAACATAGATAATAAAACCACCATGATGAGGTGCAGCGTTTGCACTTTAAAAATGTTTTATATACAATAAAGGCCCAAGTGGTTTAATTGTTGCCGTAATAAATGTAACGATAATCTGGAGGGAATGTAACATTTAATGTACATAAGCAATAAAAATACAAGGCGGCGGTCCTCCAATATGGAGCCTCAGCACAACCACATCTACCTCGAGTGATGATGCTACAACGAATATATCTAGCCGAACTATTTCACTCCGCTATTGTAAAGAATTAAAACAAATTGAGATAGAAATCAGCCCTTTAAGGTACACTTATGCTGTGTCACGTTATTTGTTTTATTCGTGCATCTCATTGCATCGTAGCCGGGTGCAAGAGATTTATTGTTTCACTCAGAAATGCACTTGCAGTCTTTTTTCTTTTTTTTGTAGGGGGGGGGGGGGGGGAGGGCGGATTTGTTGTCCCACTCATAAATTCATTTCATACGTAATATCTTATCAAGATGACGTAAATCATCAGATCTCAACAATCATTTATGACATTTATACCCCCTCTATATCAAAAGGTTGCCAAATAATACTTCACAATAGTTGCTTGCATGTGCACCATGTCATTCCATATTCTGACCCGTGAAGATTCTGTCCCAGACTCGATTATTTACAGACCGCCGTCATATAGCTGGACTATTGCCGAGTGCAGCGTTAAACACTCGTCACTCCCTCACCTCTCTCGACGATCCACACTAGACAGTGATTAATATCATGAGCATCGATCCACGCAATTGGGATCGATGACATGCATCAACCAAGTCAGCGAGCCTGACCACCCGATCCCGTAAATCGCCTTTTACGACAAGCATAGTCGCTTTTTACCGCAAGCATGGGTTGCTGAAGACCTACTCTACCCCGGATCTTCACGGGTGAGCTCCATGATGGAGTTAAACCTACTGTGTTTTGAAATTTTAAGGTTTCAAATGTATAAACAAGAGGAATCGCCTCTGCAGTGGGACTACGTCAAATTTCAAAAGACAGTAGGCTTATCTCCATTCTACCAAGATGGTGACAACGCTTTGAAAATATTCGAGTCTGGACAAAACAATCCACTGCTTGACCTCATTAATCAACCAAGTCAGGGAGCCTGACCATCCGATCCCGCTTGTCAGCTCTTTCACGTATGGGTTGCTTAAGACCAATTCTAACCCGGATCTTCACGAGTAGGGAAGGCATTAACTGATAGATCTACAATATGAGTTAGAGGCGTTAGAAACGTTTTTGAGACATGTTGAATCCAACCTGCTGTGACTGACAGCATGTCGGAATTCCCCATTAATCTTGCCTTGCTTGGGCTCTTGTTTATCTAATTCTTTGGGGACCCCGGTAGGAACAGGTCATTAAATGGATCGGGTAGTCAGACGCGAAGACTTGGCTGATTGCGTGACATCATACCCGGACGGCGTACGTTGCTCAAACACTGGTGTGTCTGGTCTAGACTTCATTATATAAAAACTGTGGTATAGAAGAAGGAGTTGAAAACAACC